TTTTTTTTAAAATGCTCTTACCCTTCCTCTTTTTACGTTCTTATCTAATTTAACCTTTATCTTTTGTTATTTTAGTTATAGGTTTTAGTTTTGATGCATTTTATGTCTCTGTTTTAGATCATTCTTATCTAGCTATTAACTTAATTTTATGAGCTAAATAGCTTTTTGTTTATTTGGTTCATTTTATACCTTTTATCCTATCCTACTGTTTTAGTCCGTTTTTAGCTCCAGTGTTTCCTCATGGGGGCCTACCACACTGAGAGTTGTTCCTGGTCTATCGATGGGGGTGCCGTCCCATGGACAGCTCTGACCTGGGTAGCTGAAGGGCACTGCACCTCGGTGTGGCGCCTCCTGTCTGCCCAGGTCGGGGTGATCACTACGGCGGCGCTCTCTGTGGCCGTGGTCCGTGGGCCCTCTCAGTGTGGATGGCCCCCAGAGGTGGCTTTTTCCTTGCCTCGGGTCTTGATGCTCGGCCATGTCTCTTTAGTGATAGCTAGTGTGTGAGTGTGTGTGTGTGTGTGTGTGTGAGAGAGCGCGAATGTGTATACTTATGTATCTCTATGTGGGGTGGGAGGGTTCATTTTTTTTCTCTTTTCTTTTTTGTTTTCTGTTTTGGTTCTTTGTTGTTTTTAACCTCTGTGAGGCACTTTGTGTTACTGTAGTATGAAAAGTGCCTTATAAATAAAGTTGATTTGATTTTTGATTTGATATAGCTGGTGGGTGTAGTTTGGTAGGAAGACAATAGCTCACAACAAGGTCTGTGGATTATCCTGAGTGACCAGGGGCCTGTATCACGAAGCGAGATCAACCTTTCCTGGGTTACCCAGACCTATCCTGGGTTGACTAACCCTAACAATGGCAATCAGGATAATCGGTATCACGACGCTGGATATCAACTGGGTAACTCAACCCAGGGTTGCCTTATCAAGAGCCGTGAACGCGCACGCAGTGGACCAATCACAATCATGAGAGAAGCGCAGCATCACTGAGCGTCCTCACAGAGCGCCGTATGTGAGGGAAAAAAAAGCATTTCTCGTGAGGATCAGAGATTAATTCTACTAAAATATGAGGAGGAGAAAAGCACCATTACAGAAAAGGCCAACACCGTGGCAGCTGCAGGAGGAGGAAACGTGTGGCAACGCATAACGGGATGAATAATGTTTAGTTTTAGTTTAGATTAGTTTATTTGCACATAATGTTAAAAACAGACAGTATAAAATTTACAAGATTAAAAAAAGAAAAGTGCCGGAGAGGTACTATCAAAGAAATTCCCCTGTCAAAACATCAATGAAATCACATAATAGAGAAGAAAAAGAAATGGTTGAGGAAAGAAGAAATAGAGGAGGAGAGAGGGAAAAATCAAGACAAAACAAGGTAGCAAATAAAATGATGTGTAGGTTAAATTACTCATCACTGGTTCAAGTAGCTACAGTACCTGTACCTGTACATCTGACACTGATCACACCCTTGAATCCCATGAAATCAATGCTGCGCAGATGAATTGCGTGTATTACAATTATCGTCTAACATCATTGCGTCTGATAAATTGGTCTTCTTTGTCATAACGTTATATATGCTACAATAAAGCTTAAAGCTGACGCCACAATTAAATCATATCAACACCAAATTGATAGTCTGAATAAAATCATCCTGATATTGAGCTGTGTTAGAAATTAACAGCTGCGCAAAAATATACCTAGTCTCCCTCTTTAAAAAACAAAAAGGAAAATCCCTCAAACACCATGAAGTGTAGACATGATAGGCTACTTTCCACATTTCCAGCAGCAAAGCTGTCAATTAGGCCCATTATCTTTAACAGGGATCATTTCCTCCAACAAAACAAAATGTTGGCACTAATTAATGGTGCTATTAAGTGTCCGCAAATGATCAGTTTCTTTCTTATGAAGGGGTGGGATGAAAGTTCGACTTCTTTCCACTCCTTTTTGAACAATCTTTTCATTGTCTGTTGTTGTTGCTTTCTTTTCTTTTTTAATGTTCAAAATAAACTTTCAAATCAAAATCAATCAAATTAATTAAACTTCCCGTCATGACTGGGCTGCATTTCTGTCAGCGGAGTCATTTTTTTCCGAACAGCTGATTGGCCAGTGGGTGGTGCTTTTTACAGGATCAGATTCAACCCTGAACTTACCCTGCTCCGGAGCAGGATAGCCGTTCAGAGTAAGTTACCATGGTGATCTACCCCGATAAGAACTGAACCGGCTTCGTGAGACCGAAAACCCAGGGTTAACCCTGAAGTTACCTCGCTAAGACATTAATCCTGCTTCGTGATACAGGCCCCAGGTCATGCTTTTTTGCACAGAGACACTGATGTTCAGTTTTTGAAATGTATTTTTTTATTTATTTATTTTTTTCTGGTGCTTTGGACATAACTAGCTGAGTGCCATCTACTTCCATTATATAGCAGAGAAGACAGACATCTCTATGGCTGTTATCTCCAACACTCAGTGACTTACAACAAAACAATCTAGATTGATAAATAGCACTACAGGTAAGAGGAAAAATATGTGTTTTTGATTTTTGGATGAACTATCCCTTTAAGTACATGTGTGAAACGGTTAAGTCTTTCCACATAACTTTGGTTTGTTTTCAAGGAATATCCGTCTTAGAAAATAGTTTGGCATTTTGGAAAATACTTCCTTGCTGAGCGTTATTGGTACGGTTAATATAAAGTGGGCAAATCTGCCCACCATCATGACCAAAGCTCACTAATTAACACATTATATCTCTTTTGTTTAATCCATGCAAAAACAAAGTGTAAAAACAAAAGAGAAGAGATGACTCCCTGTAAGATGTAATGTATTCATTAAGGAGCTTTAGAGGAGTGGTTTGGCACAGTTTGTTACCTTTCGACATAACTGGCCAGCCTTTACTCCCCGTCTCCACTCCATGCTAAGCCAAGCTAACCAGCTGCTGGCTCCAGCTCACACAAACATGAAAGCTGAATCCATTTTCTCATTTAACCTGTGGTACTTCCCAAAAGTGAATTAGCATTTCCTAGGATAGCAAAGGCATGACCCACCCTGCTCTGCCTTGCTTTAGCCCTTAGGAATTGTGCAAATTTGCAGGAAAGCCCAATCAGTCTTTTTTCAGCATTGGCAGTATAAAAACAAAATTGGGGAGTGCAGCAAAATGGCACGAAGCTACTTTTGTTCATACAGAATGTGCCTTTTTCAGGGCAATGGGGGGCGTGAGCAAGTAACAAAACATGTAGCTCAGCGTGTGACATAACCAGTGACGTAGGAGGGAAGCCGCGGCTGGTCAGTCCTTCGGCGATTCTCTCATAGGTTGGCCCGTCCTTCACCGTTCCCGTTATCTGACGGTGAATGGCCTCCTTGTTTTTTGAGGGCAAGGAGGGTGCGCAATTCTTTGTCTCCCCAGTTGCTCATCTTTACAGTGTCTGTCAGGGTTGTGTTTCCCTCTTGCTACTAGCTGCTTGCTAATTCCTGCTATCAGCTGTTTCCTCTTTATCCAATGCCAGTGGGTTGCACGTGCGGCGTCATCAACAGCTCCTCCCACAAGTCATCAACATCCCCTCCGAGGCGGAAGGACGCCTCGTTCTTTTTAAACCAAAAAGGTTCCGCCAATATGACTACCCTACACGGCGGAAAATTGGGCACCTCGGATCAACTCGCCAATCCGGCTCTGTGTGTCTAAACACTCACAGCTTGCCTGCAAAACAGCCCAACATTCGCGGAAAATCTGGCAGTGTAAAAGGGGCTTTTGACTCTGACTGGATGACCCTGACATTTACACCCTGACTCAAACCTATCTCACTCCTCTTGCCTGAACTTAACCAACCCAACCAACAAAGGCAATGAGAAAGTATGAAAGTAGCGTGGGTCATACCGTCAATGTCCTCAAAAATGCAACTTAGCTTTCTAAAATGTCTAAAAATTCCTTTAAGAAAAGTCTTAACTCAATGCTACAGCGTACAATAATGTTCAAACAATGTGTGCTTCCAGCTCTGTGACAGGAGTTTGGGGAAGGCCCTTTCCTTTTTGAGAACGACAGTATCCCCATAAAAAAAATCAAGTCCATAGAATAGTTTAACAAGTTCATAGTGAAAGCATTCGGCTGTCCTGCACAGAACCCTGACCTCAAACTCATCCCACACTTTTGGGATGAATGAAACCAGACCTTATTGCACAACATCAGTAATGCTCTTTAGGCTCAATGGGAGTAAATTCCTGTTCCAAAATCCTGTGTAAAGCCCCTCATCCTTATGCCTGTATTTCAGGTTTTCCACATACAGTACTTTTGGCTGCATTCATGCATCCTAACACAAGCCCATAGGCGGGGCATGGATAAAGATAAAGTCCACATAGAGAGCTGGAAGTAGAAGTGGACGTAGCGCTGCGTTACTGTGCGCAGCATCAGACTGTAGAGCAGAAATTGATCCTCTGATAAAAGCTGCCTTTCCTCAGGGAGACCGGCTTCCTGCCTAATGGCTGTTAGGCAGCGAGAAATGGACCAGGAAGAGATGGCCTGCAGAGCACTTAGACACTTAGACATCATACACGTCTATAGAAAATAAATGTGTGTTTACGCTCGCAGAGAGGGAGGAAACACACACATACAGACAGACGAAGATAGAGAGTGAAGACAGAGAGTATGAGTGGTGTGACAGAGATGGAAAAACTTTTACAAGTGACTGATGCTGTGGCTTACTATTTTGGGTTCACGTTGGGATGGAGGACACGGAGTGGTTAACGCACAGATGGGAAGGATGTGAATGGGTTAAGCTCAAAGTGCAAAGTAACACACAAGCGCAAACACACAGTACATGTACACCAGATCATACTTGCACTTGTTAACAAATTAATTCTGCGTGATTGATCGCTCTGATCTCATTTCCTGATGGAACATGGTAATGAAATCAGCAAGCGGCATGTTTTGCTCTCTGTTTGAGTGCGTGAGACATTTTCGGAGGCGACCGTGTGTATGATCTTAATCTGTGAGTGTTTGTGTTTTACTCACAGGGAGGAGAGCACTGCTACTATCAGGGGAAGGTCAGAGACATCCCTCACTCCTTCGTGGCTGTCTCAACCTGCCATGGTTTGCAGTAAGTACAAATATTATGTGACTTGTATGTGTGTGTTTGTCAGCCAACATCGCAGCCTCTGTGTGTCCGGGTCCTCGGCCGTGCTCCCATTTACCCATTAGGTCAATGTAATTAGTTTTTGCCTGGCCCTCTCTGTCTCTCGTCATTTGTTGTTATGCAGGTTATCATACACACAGACAGGTGCTGCTCAGACGTCCTCTCCTCTCCTCTCTACCTAGTGTTGGTATTTTTAGAGTTTGTGCTCTAAAGCAGCGCTCTGTCAGAGACGGGTCAGAAACAAGGCCTGCTGGGAAGAATAGATGCACACTGTATATGAGTTGGTATAAGTGCTGCGCTGTGTGTATATACTGAGGAGAGAAGAAGCGAAAATATGTTCTGTGTTACTGAATGTCACTAGAACTGCCAGGGGTTTCTGTATACCTAAAACAGCCGACAGGTAAAATTCACCTGCTGTTGGAATGAATTGATTTTCACAGTACAAGATGGAGAAAAAATAATATAATAATAAACCTTTGTTCACCGATCAGTGCAAACACACATGAAGGATAACCATGCTGCTCTATAGACCGAATCACAATGTTTACAATCAGGCTGCCCCCGACTAGGAATTTTCCCAGTCCACCAGTAGTCGTCATTTAGGGCCATTAGTCGACTAGTCGCCCTCATGTTTATGATATTAATGTAATTATTAGATTATATATTTTGACCGGGGCAACACAATGGTTTGAGTTGAAGGTGTGAGAAAGAATAGTATTAGTAACATTGTTAACACTGTGCTACATTACAGAGAAATACAAAACCATACTAATGAACCTTCATTAATATAGACCTATATTTTATCTACAAGTGCACGTCACACACTGAGCGAGCCGCCTGTTGATGATGATGTCGGCATGTAGCTACTTCCATGTGTCAGATGATACATCATGTTTGTAGTCGACCAATGAAGATGAGTTTACATATCACCTTGGGTTCGTCCTTCACCTTCTCAAAACTCCTAATAGAGTTGCACTTTTTTTTTTGTTGTTGTTGTTGTTCTTCTTCTTCGACTAAGCGGCCAATGAAATCTTCCAGACTAATGACCTTTCTGGTCGACTAACGTTTGGTTGACTATCAACTTCCCAGTTGAAAACCCCTGCATCACGTACATGAAATTAAACGGTGCTGAGCAAACGCTGCCCCAATTGGCTTGGTCTTAGCTGTAATGGAGAGAGAACTGAAAATCTTTACTCAAGTAAAAAATTAAAATTACCATTTGATAAACCTATGTAAGTAAACATAAAAAGTACCTGCTTAATAAATTACACAAAATACAAGTTAGTTTCCATTTTAATATTTTTAAGTGTGTGTGGGCAGTAGAGCAGGTAGGCTAATCATTATCAAAGATTAATGTGACACATAAAACCTTCACATAGTTAACGTTAGCTAGCTACCTACAAGTTCACCTAGAGCAGTGGTTCCCAACTGGTGGGTCGCAGTCTAACAGTGGGTCACTGATCCATTCTGAATGAACCGCAAGTGAAACACAAACGCATCAAGTTTGTAAAAACAAAAAACAAAAAAAAAAAAAAAAAAACACACTTAAATATATTAAGTAAAGTGAATTTCTGGCAAAGCGTTTTTGTTTTGAAGTGCCATTTTCTGCTGTAGAGTAAGGGAATAACGGACAGCTACTTGACTGAGACATCAAACTAACTCTACAACATGGCCAAGTAGTATGATGCTGAATGTATAAAACTGTGTGGACCTTGAACTGATGACTGAGGAGAAATCTGGCCCCCTTGGCTGGACCAGTTGGGAACCACTGACCTAGAGCATGTGCAACTTACCTTAGTGTGCTTGTGGAGGTTCGTAAAGGAGTTTTTTAAAGCAGAGATGTTGTTTATAGGAAACACAGAGATTTTGGCATAAAACGTGTGGCCAGATGTGGCCATGGATTGTTTCTGGTGGCCCCCGGCACCTACATTTAGAGCAAACTCGTTGTAACAAAGGTATAAATGGCTACTCAAGTAAAAAGTAGAAGTAAACCCTCACTCCTTCAATGTGAGCTTAACTTTTCAAGTGTATGCTTTGTCTAGAATATTTTTTTGGCTTTACCTTGCCATCAGACAGCCCTTTCCAATGGGGAGCTAAAGCCATTATCTGAAATCCACCAGACTCCACTGCCAAATATGTCAGAATAGGGGAGTTGCTCGTCTACCACTGTCTCGATTGATTGGATAAAGTACGGAAAATATTCTAAATATAGCATAAAACTGATACTGATTTTTTTTCAGGTGGCTAAAATACATTTTGCAGAGGCCCACATCCACAGCTTCCGTGCTGGTAGATTTGGTTTATCAAACATGATTGCAAAGCAACACAGTACAGTTAATGAGCACAGCTGAAACGTCAGATAGGTCTGACCACCATGTTTAACTCTTCATCTTTAAACATTACACATAAAGCTGAAAATGACAACAGAAATAAACAAGTCTGATTGTTGTTACTGCAACGTCACAATGATTTGGTTTTATACACATAGTTGTAATAACTGCTTTCTCTATGGGGTAAATTTGATCTGCTCTAAAGGTATAAATGGCCTTTTTTGTTTTTAAATCTGGATTTATCTTGAACATTTAACAACAGGGTTGTTGCATAACATTATTTCATTGAAACAAAGCTACATACAATCAGCAAACAGCCACAGGTACATTTTACCCATTGGTAGTTCCAGTGATATGTGAAGAGAAGACAGGTGAAAATGTATTCTGTGTCATTGTGTGCGGACAATACAGCGCTTGCATAAGAAGGCACCTATGAATAATCAGTTATAACACATGCGCGTGCATTACAGTTTTCACAGTTGCTTCCACACATTCCTTGAAAGGAAAACAGTATTTTCCCAAAACTGTGAACATGAGACAAAAAAAATCTCACACTGCTTTGGCTGAATCTCAGACATTGAACACACTATACGATATATTTGGACGTTGAAAAGATAAAGAAAAAGAAAAAGAAGGAAGGCAGAATTAAATCACAATTGTTATCTGTAAACAAGTGTGGAAAACAATGCTAGAAGAAGCTCCTTGTCAGTCTGATCAGCTCATCCAGTAACAGGAGTCTCTGTATTCAGGGTGTGTTTCTTTATGCTTGTTCATTGTCATGACGAGGGGTGTAAATCACCAGTTTCATCACAATACAATATTATATTGATTCCTTGGACATCAATATGATATTTGCTGATATTACAAAGTCTGTCACAATAAGATTTCGATTCAATGTGATTTAAAGGCGTGTGATCGATATGAGATTATATTATATGATCATTTAACCTCTTTCTTTTCTGCTTTTGGTCTGAAAAGATAAAAACAGCACATAAATAATCTAAGAAATTGGGTTAGGGTTAGAGTTTACTTTAAACTGACTCCACTAACACATAAAACATCACATGGGATATGTAAACCTTCAGGGCTTTCTGACAGAGAGAACTTTCCGAGGAGGAAATCTTTGCATTTTAACTCAAATCACCATCTTTTTCATAAAACTTAAGGTCTATCTGGCTTAAAGCCCTGAAGGCAAACTTCTCCTAACAGCCATAAAACATTTAAAAACAACAACATAGTTTAACTAAATATTCAGCGTAGTCATCGGGAGCATGGTCTCACTCTGAAGTCGACGAAATCCGGTGCTTAGGCAGCGTCTTGCGGCCCCAGAAACTGATGTAAAAAGGCGTCATTTAATGTCGGCATGATATGCAGCTGGTTGCTGTTATATGTTAACGGCGCTTGGCAGCATCAGGCGGAAACGCGGCGGGACAAGGACGAAAGTTAAGGTGGCAAAAGTCCGAGTAGGTTACGGTGGGAGCGGTGTTCACGTCCTGTAAGATTCTAAAACCAAACCCTGTTGTTTTTTTCCTAAACCTAACCATGTTTTTGTTGCCAAACCCAACCACATGTGTTTGTTGTTAAAGGAAAAAAACGTTAATTTGCAGTGTTGTACTGACAGTGCATTTATTTTGAAAAAGACTGTATGTAAACGTTTAAATTCATGTGAAAATGTAAGTGTATTTTGAAAGAAGAGAACTTGACACGGTGTCCCAGAATGTCAACAACCAACGCACCCAGGGTACCTTGAAAGTCCATGACCAAAACGTCAATATGTGACGAGGTCGGAGTGAGAATGTGTTGTGATAAGTGTCAAGATTCACAGACAAAACAATTGCTTTTTGCTAGTCACTCATTATTAGCTTAAGCATGTTTACATTGCATAAATTAGCCTAGCAGCTAGCGGACTTTACCTCTACTCATAGCTTAACAAATTATATTTAACGCTATTATTTTCTTTACTCACCATTTGTAAGTCACTGCGTCTCCCAACAGAACAAAACGGTTGAATTTCAGCCTGCGCGCATGTTTTTTCAGCCAAACATTGTTGAAACAGAGCAGCTAATGTTGCTGTAGTGAGAAGTTAACGGAGGGAAATGCCCGGCCAGGCCGGTCACCTTATGTCCTGTTTTAAATCGTAACACCATTGTTCACATACACTATGAGTTCTGTCTGTTGACCCGATTTCCACACTGCTGATTTATTCCAGAGTAAATAATGCTGTCCTCATCGTCTTTCTCTTGGCTGCTTGCCGTCTGCCTGCCACTGTTTGCTGGTGACACAAACTTTCAAATTAAAGCCTATCAGAAAGATCAAAGATCAGATCGATGGATCGTTACACTCCTAGTCATGACTGGACATTTTTTATACTGAATAACAGCGTCTCTCTTTGGTTGAAGATTTAAGTTTTGAGGTGTAAAGAGCAATCCAAGCTTTATGGTGTATTTTGCTGTAACAGCAGATAGTATTTCACACAGTTCACATCTGCACATTAATGACAGTGTCATCCAATTATCCCCTTTCAGTTGTTTCTTAAAACATTGCTCATTTTTGATCCATTACACCTCATCAGAGCTTGACCCAGTCCAATATATCTTCCCCCAGCATAATTAAGTAAACCAAATAACCAGTGCAGAGAGGTAAATTCATCTAATTAAGGAAAGTGGGTGAAATCAGATTGATACTTGCTGAATAAGCTGAACCGAGCTCTGGCTTTTAATAACGTTTGCATATTTCATGTGAATGTGGCGACATGTTGGGAAATGTGTCACAGCAAGTTTATGTTACGCAGCACAAAAAATAATGAAAAGTAGGGTGTGAATTCATCAAACCCAAACAAGGTGAATGTGTTTCACATGCAGTGCAGTCACATATGACATAGAGCAGGATATAATGTGACAGACAAGATTAAGAAGGGTTTCCTGAGGATGTCTGTTATTTCAGGCACGGCTAAATTTTGATGTGTGACTTCTAATTTGGCCAAATGTTAGTATAGCATGTTATAATACTGCTGGCATTATTATTTGTTGCATTAGAATTTGTCGTACGCTATTAATAGAAGTAGGATTTATTTGATTGTAGGTTTGGAGGGTACTGATTTTTTTAATGTGGAAAGAAATACACAAGCTGACACAATAAAGGAGACAGAGACACACCCATAGTATTCCCTGCACACACTTATTTGTGCGTATGTGAGAGAGAGAGAGAGAGAGAGAGAGAGAGAGAGAGAGAGAGAGAGAGAGAGAGAGACGGTGCAAGGGAGGGAGTTGAGGGAGTGCCCAGTGGTGTCGAGGGGTTAGACATTAGAGGGAGAGTATTTCCCTTATGCTGAGTCAGGTATTTACCATAATATACATCCTGCTTTCTCCTCTCTTTTTGTCTCTCTGTCTCTTACGCACACACAGAGAAACTGCACTGCAATGGGGCATTTACTGTATACGGCAGGGCAGTGCTCCCAGCTACATCCATCACCTGAGATGTAGACAGCTAAACATCGACACAGGCTCCTGTTTAGAGCTGCATCCATGTTCTACGTTTGTGACTGAAATGCAAAACTTCTCATTGATTAAGAAATGATCAGCGTTAACACTCCTCGTCACCACCCAGAAAAGTTCAAATCATGAGCACAGTTAAAATCTGCTTTTAATTTGAACAAGCTCTACCTGGGACACTCTTGGTGTTGCAACTTGTGAAAAATGATGTGTCTTTAAAATACGGAAGCCCTGAAAGGCAAGATGAAAAACAAAATGCAGGCAAGGTTGGCCAAAACTTGAGCATAGCGTTAGTTCAGGCATGATGTCAAGACATGATGTCAAGCTCAGCACATATCAGCTGATGGAGCAGCTGATTGATGGAAGGGAGTCAGCTGATAGATCACATGATTCCTTTCTATGCAACTATTGGTGAATCTCATTCAGAGTGCCCTATTTAAACTGCTCTGGCCTGCCTACTGTTGCTGCTTCCTCTGCAAGTCACTTTGCAACCCGCCTCCACCCCAGCTCCTCCTTTTCATGCTGTGTCTGACTTATCAATGTGATTCCTGTTTGTCACTGATGCTGCTCTGTTCTGTTCCTGGGAGGTCTTTGCTGCTGCTCTCCCCACCTTAGGCTTTCCATGTAGGCGCATGGAAGGGCAGGGAGGTTAGCTTTCTTTGCCTCAAGGCTTTCCTCATTTGCACGTGGAAGGGCAGAGAGGTGTGCTCTCTCTGCCTTAGGCTTTCCACTTAGGTGTGTGGAAGAGGCTTTCTGCGTAGGCCTAGGAAAGGCAGAGAGGCCCCAGAACAGAGCCATACCACCAAATATAATACTGCAAATGGAAAATTGGAATGGAAAATGGAAGTTTTCTTTGACTAAAGTGGTCCTAACTGAACTTTCCTTTGTTACACTGCCTGCAAAAAACTTCTTTTTGTCACCTTGCCGTTCAGGGCTTCCAAAGTCTGCATAGGAGACAATACAGAGGAAATAATATCTCGTATTTAGGAGCTAAATTTAGGTTTTGGCCAATGTTACCCACAATTTTTTTTTTTTTTTTCACTTTACGTTTCTGTGCTTCCATACTTCAGTTTTAAAGCTATAGTGCGTAACTTCTGTCGCCTCCCAGCGGATAATGCGTTATTACAACTAATAAGCCGGTGGCACTTCCATGTACACAGAGTAACACTCACCACACACCATGTACACAGAGTAACACTCGCCAGTCGCCACACACCATACACAGAGTAACACTCGCTTCACACCGTGTACACAGAGTAACACTTGCTTCACACCGTGTACACAATGCTACACAACGTGGCGAATACCAGGCTGCTAACATTACATTACGTTCATAGCACCATTTCCAAGAAAATAATAAAGTACTAGGTCCACTACATGTAACAGCAACATATACTACTCATAATATAATTATAAACCAAGTCACTTACTTATCCAACAGCAGCAAGGCAACATCCGTGTCTGCCCTCAGCCCAATTTCTTCCTTCAGGGCTCTCCACCGAGGAAAAGAGAAGACAATACAAATCCTTGTTTGCCTTCACCGTCAGTCACTTTCCTTCTTTGCTAATAGACCTTCAGCTGAACGTCCAGGCTTTTTCTTTGTAGTAGGATCCACTTCTGAACCGTGTCTCGGCCGCTTCTCCACCATGTTGCTTTCTCTTTCTACCTGCACTCTACCTCTTGCTGTGACACTCTCCGCTCTTCCTCCCCCTCCCTTCTTGTTGTGAGGAAGCATTTCCTGTGCGCCAGCGCGGGAATGTCGCCGGTCGACACGCAAACTAAAAATGATATATATTGAAAAATACCGAGAAATGTTAGAGGAGCCAATCGGCTTAATCAGCATTGTGTCATCTCCTCTAGTAGTGGCTTGGGTGAAACGGACATTTACGGACCTGTAGAAGTTACGCACTATAGCTTTAAGGCCTGTGTCCACATAGTGTGTTTCTTAAGCAGAAAAGCAGTGCCAGGGCGCTGCGGATATGATGCACTGCATGTGGGTTTTGTTTCTGTGACATTGACATTAATGTTAGCTAGGTAGCTGATGCAATGCTACCTTAACAGAGGGTTGGCTACACAGTCAAAAACAAGCTTATATCGGTATGGTGATGAAAAATGCCAGTGCTAAAACACTATGTGGACACGGGGCCTCAAAGCCCCTCAAACATGTTTTTATTCTTAATCCTACAGTACCAGATTTTGTTTTTGCCCACTTGGCTGCAGTAGAAATAACATAATATGAACTTCTCAGTTGTTATGTCAAATCCTTTAGCAAACACTTGCTAATTTATACATCCCGCAGTTACAGAGCAACATAATCATTCAGTTTGAGTCGTGTTACTGGTCATGTGAAAAATATAAGTCCAATACTGACACTTCATTTTTGGTCTTCACCAGCTCCTTAGAGAAATATCAGGCTCTTCAGCTGCTAAATGCTCCACTGTGTTCACCAACAACAAATGACTGAATAAAATGTGTTTAGTTTTTTGACAGTTCTCAGTGTCACCATGACAAAATAGTATATTGACAGGGCAGAAAACAGAAAAAGGGTTGAGAGCAATCTTCACTTCATCCTCTTTCTTTTTTTTAATATGTGTAATATGTTGTAAGTGCAGTGTTGGACCAGGACAAAGAGTGTGTTGAAGGTGAATACTGTGTGTTGAAGGCCAAAGAAAGGTTGAAAAAAAGGCGGAGACAGTTGGATGAGAAAGACAGATTGTGTGTTCCTGTGGTGTTTACCCTCATGACTCCACAGTTTGACCGGTCCAATCTCCTAAAAGCCTCAGATAAAGTTAATTAATGGATGACGTCCAGTTGTGTGCACATGCGCACACACTGGTGGGCAGAGACGAGAAGACCTTCACCCAGCTGCTAAATGAGAAATTGATCTCTGACTTTTTAAAACGATTGCTTCGTCAAAATGATGTGTGTGTGTCGTGGCCTCTTTCTCTCAAACCTTTATGTGATGAATGTGTTTAGAGTTTTTTGAGTGCATGTGAAGTCATTACGATTTTCAATAAATGTTAGAAAGGATCATGAGGATTTGCACCAATTTTCTGCTCAAGCCCACTCCTTTCAAAGGTGTCTGAGTCATTGCACCTTGTGCTCAACCAGTTCAAACCCTTAGTTATTGTTCCTGAGATAAACTCCTCGGGTAACCTTTAGGTTGTGCTGTGTGGAGGGAATCTCTGAGATGACTGGATGACCTTTTGTTTCACATTACCCTCCACCCCTCCTAAGCCATACGTATGCCCAATAGAGCAGGACGGCAGAGGATTCTGTCCAAAACTTCAGCTTACAGTTATTATTCTGACAAATGTTCCAATAATACAATGAAAACCCCTGGGCAAGCGCTGAAATGGCTAATCTATCACACAGATGACTGAGGAGGAGTTGAATTCAGATGCATTATTCCAGTTAGTGATGAATAAAACAACAGCAACTGGTGCTGATATGTGCCCTCCTCTCCCCCCTTCCCGCCTCTTTTTTCTCTTTCAGTGGGATGTTTTTCGATGGCAATCACACCTACATGATTGAACCCGGAGGACAGGGCGGCAGCAGTGTGAGTACTCTACACAAAAATGTATGTACTTTGTACCTCTCAGAGGGGGGTATCAATTTTCCCTTCCTCTACCTTTTCACATCTTCCTACCTCTCAGCCATGTTGAATTTTCTGCGGTTAGATATTGTTACATAATTTTTTCATACAAATTATAGTTGTCCTTGAGTGTCCCGGTAGCCTTTGCCACATGACAGCGTGGTCCACGGCTCGCATCCGGCTAAGAGCCTGTGTTGCATGTTATGCTCCCCTCTCTCTTTTCAGCCCAGTCTTCACAAGAAAATATTGGCATTGTATGTTTCTGCAAACCAAGGACACGTTACATTTGTCTGTTTCATATGCATCACACTGACGTTTCTAAGGTGATGAAATATGTGAGCTGAAGGGACGCCTGCAAAGTTGCAGACCACTGTTCGAGACCACCAAAAAACAAAACCTGTTGCATTTTATCCAGTCATCACTGCTTTTCTAGCAGCTTTTTAGCCACCATGCGTGGGTGATTTTTAGCGACTTATCACCGTGTTTGCTTTGGGGATAGTGCCACTTAAAACGGCTGTGTTTTTTACCGAGACATTGATGGGTTCCTCCGTGTATAGTGCCACTAAAACAGTTGTTTTTTTTACCAAGACATTTCTGCGTTACCTGCTGGGATAGTGCCACAAAAAGAGGTTGTTTTACTGAGACATTGCTGCATTTCCTGGTGGGATTGTGCAAGAGAAGAGGTTGTTTTTCACGTCGAGATGGTGCCACAAAAAATGCTTGTTTTTTACCGAGACCTTTGCGTTTCCTGCTGGGATAGTGCTAAGAAAAGCAATTGTTTTTTACAAAGACATTGCTGGGTTCCTCCTGGTATAGTGCCACTAAAATGGTTGGTTTTTTTTACCAAGACATTGCTTTATTTTTTACATGGACATCGTTGTATTTTCTGTCGAGATTGTACCACAAAAACAGTTGTTTTACAGAGCTGCATTTCCTGCTGGGATTGTGCCACAAACAAAGGTTGTTTTTATACAGAGACATCACTGCATTTCCAGCCAGGACACCGCACCAACAGCAGTCGTTTTTACAGAAACATTTCTGTGTTTACTGCTTGGATGGTGCCAAGAAAAGCGGTAGTATTTTACTGAGACATTGCTGTCTTTCCCAGCCTTGATAGTACCACAAGAAACGGCTGTTGTTGTTTTTTACAGAGAAATCGGTGCATTTCCCCCTGGGATTGTGCTAAGAAAAGAGGTTGTTTTTTTACTAAGACATCGCTGTGTTTCCTGCCTGGATAGTGCTACAAAAATGTGGGTATTTTAAAATACCCACCTTTTTAAAACCTGACCTTTTCCTTTCCATAACCAAGTGGTTTTTGTGCCTAAACCTCACCACATACTAACCATTGCACTGCTGACATACCACATAATAATGCACAAATGTAATGTATCTGTGGTTTGCAGAAACATAAAAGGCCAACATTTTTTCTGGTAATTGGGTTGCTCTTTTCTCTTGTTTCCTGTCTACATCTATTCTGTACTATCTAATCAAGGTGGAAATGACAAAAAAAGAAAATATCCTTCAGTTGTTCATGTTTAAACTGGTTTTACAAGAGGTTTGTACAATTTTGCATCTATACAATGACTCTCCTATTGTGTGTTTGTTTTCCTTCCAAACACAAACTCCTGGAAATATATTCAAATCATGATTTAAAATTAGCTGAGCTACTCAACCATCTGTACCTCCCGGGGCACACGTAGCTCTGGCTGGAAATCGCTACGCCTCACGACTGTGTGTGCGGCACATGATAAGTGAGAATAAGTTTCCTGGTATTACAGGATTCATTCAGGGGTCAGTTACTGTCCTGAGAGGAGGTTAAGACAAAACCAGAATCAGTTACAGATCACACACCAGTTGTCGGCCACTTTTCCTAATGAACCGTGGGTGCGGGCCGTGGGTCTCAGGGCAGAGAGATTTGCTGGGTTACAAAGCCTACAGCCAATTAGATAATAACAATTACAGCCATTATGGTCGGAACGAAAGGACAGATGTGAGATTGTCTAAAGACGCCTTGAGCACGGGAGTGGAAGAACACGCCGCTGATACTGTGTGTGCGTCTCCTCTCTGCTCTAATTAAAACGTCCAGAAGAAATGTGTGTCTGGTGTTAATCAGTGAGGGACGAAAGGAGACGAGATAGGAGAGGTCAGGGATTTGTGTCTGTGTTTGTGTCCATGCGTGTGTGTGTGTGTGTATGTGTGTGTGTTCACTTATGGGTGTTGGTGGTGGTGGCATGGCACAAAGAGCTACTTAAGATTCATTCCCATATGACAGTTTTAGTGCTAACAGTGTTGAAAGAATGGATAGAAGAGGGAATAAAAAAGATGGATGGAGGCACAAAGTAAATGTTGGGCTAAAAAGAGAAAGGCTAACTAAGAAAAATGAAGAAGAGGCAGGTACACAGAGGGAGGTGGAAGTGGAGCAAAAAACAAAATTGTCAGTAAATTAATTGCATTTAGATCGCTTATTGTATCTTCTGCAGAAACACTGTAAAACAAGAGGAACTACTGGGTTTGTGATGGCAGTTGCTTTGTCAGAGTCACACATTCATGAAAAGAATTGCAAGTAAATGAAGCATTAGAATATTCTGTATATGAATAACTGTTAAAATAAGACAACAGCAGCGCCTCAGCACACTAGGTTTATTTCTCACAGGTCACAGCTCTCTCCTCCCTTTCACTTCTTCTTTTACTCCCTGCCTCTTCTTCGTCTCCTCTCTGTCTCCGTCATTCCTCTCCTGCATTTTCTGGACAGACTGAATTATTCAAGCGATGAGAAAGGGAGAGAGAGAGAGAGAGACATCTTAACTCAGAACGTTGCTGCAGCACTCGTCTTCAGAGATACAGTATCTTGGGTGCCTTTTTTGGTCATTCACACAGCAGGCACTTTGACGTAAAAATGCACATAAAAATTGGAGGAGATTCTCCACTAGTTTAGTTTTTATATTCATGTCATGTCAAACAATTGGCCATAACACTGTTTCATATTAAAGGTCCAGACAGTGTGTCGGATGTAGGGGGGATTTAGTGGTGACTATTGTTGAAGACTGCAGAATGTCTTTAGTATTTATGATTCAGGAGGTTTTTACCAGGAGCCGTATTATCCACAGAGTTCTGTTCCTCTCCAAAACAAACCGATCCGGTGATAAAAATTAGTAAAAACACTTAATGAAGCAGTTTCATATTAAATAATTAGTGATATTCCAATGCTTTCACTGGCTGATGCAAACATGCTAGTGGCCCTATCTAGAGCCAGTGTGGTTTGTCTGCTCTGGGTGGTCTCCGTAGACGAGGCCCCGATCCCTATGTAGATATAAATGGCTCATTCTAAGGTAACAAAAGCACGACAGTTCTTATTTTGAAGTGATTATACACTTAAGAAAACATGCTTATTATATTGTAGCAAGACATAGCACATATACAAATTCAAGGAAAGACATAATTTCAGGTGAATTCAAATAAGAACTTTTAATGCTACCAACCTAAATTTTAACCTGATAAATTGTTAATTTTCGAATAACTGGCCAACCTAAATGTTTCATTTGTGAATCACATATCAGTGTTTGTGCACTCTACAAAATGATTTGTGGGGTTTGTGGGTAACACTTAAAATAAAGACTTTTTAGCATAAAAAAATATGTAAAAACATTTTTGAGTAGGATGAAATTAAAAAAATAAATCAAATTACACCATCTTAAATGAAATAATTTGACCCATGAATATCACCACAACCTGCGGATACATTTTAAGTTGGTTCAAGTTAATTAAGTTTTTCGAGGTCAAAGCAAATCACATTGGTTGTTCAGATATAATTGAGTTTGTGGTATTATATATGACTCATAGGATTCATTCAGTAAGGCCAGAGTTGAAACTACTTAAAAAGACACATGCAAATTGTTACCTTAATTTTTAAATGTTGAACCAGTGGGTTATTTTGTAGAGTGTATGTCATTGTTGTACATCATGTTTAAAAATATCTGTTTTGTGTTTTTGTCTCACTTAAAAATAAATTGGGTTAAAAAAAAGACAGAAAAAAAATTTCATTGAACTGAAAAATTCCATAATGGCAGTAGTGGAAACTATTGAAACTACATTTAATCACCTATTTTACTTGAGTAAAGTGTTGAGGTACCTGTGTTTTATTTTCATTGTATGCTACTTTGTTCTTCACCCTTTACTTCAACATTTATCTGACAGCTTTAGTTACTGTGCAGTTGCAGATTTTATATATAAAGTAGGGGTGCTGCTGTACTAAGGATAACCAAGGTATTTAAAAGTAAAATATTGATATAGTGTAAATAATATACATATAATAAAGTGTAAATAATCCAGCGCCTCTTAAATCATTTCCGTTTCTTTCCGTTCTTGCTTTGCTTTTCCGCACTCGTATTTTTGGTGAAATTAATTTGTCAAAAACGAGACAAAATGTACAATAAACAGAGTCAAAGATAAATTTGACTGATAGCAGTGTTATTATTATTTTTCAAGTATTCTGTAGATATCATGATAATATTGCTATCGTGAACTCTTTTGGCCACAATAATGATGTCGTAAATATCTGATATTGTGCCTGCCCTAATACAAAACATGTAATCCTATCCAGTATGATACCTTATCAAACATTGAATATAATTCAGTATAGTTAAACTTCATCTATCCTGATCAGTTACAATGATAAAATGCTACTAACACATAAAAGCATCACTAATAAGAATCCAATTATGAAGTAGACAGTTGCATAACACACATGGGCTATTATCATATTAGTACTTTTACTTCTGGTACATTTCTGGTACATTTTGCTGGTAACACCGTACAGTTTTTGAATGTAGGACTTCAACTTGTGATGTCAGAGGTGAACAAGTGAAGAGTAAAACGAGGTTGTCTTTGGTGTTATTTAATAAAGTGACAGAACAGAGCGTTAGAACAGAGTCAATCTTGTTTCAGCTCAAAGGTCAGAGCTGTAG